GGGGGGGGGGGGGGGGGGGGGGGGGGGGGCGTGGACTTTGGACGGCTTCCCTCGCCGTCTCGGGCGAAGCGTCTCCAAAGCCGTCCGCCAACTTGCCTTGTTTCCTCAGGCCGAGCAAGCGTCCCAGGCGGGTCGCAGCGTCGCCGTGGCGACGGTGGTGGCCGCCGTGGATCAGGCCCGCGTCCGCCGGGGGCCGCCGGATGCCGCCGAACAGGTAGCCGTCGGAACTCGTCCTTGTGTGTTTCTTTGCCTTTCTTCGTTTGACTCGCACCGTTTCGGTCGTCGGGGCCACCGCCTTTTACTTGGGAGGGCGCTCGGGAGGCTGACGGCCGCGTGCCGCTCGTCCAATCCTACAACTCGACGAGCGTGAACGCGTCACACGGAGCCAAACTCGTTTTGTGCGGCCGTCAAGTCACGTGCTTGTTCTGCGAGCGCGCCGTCATGGCGAACGCTTCCGAGCGTTCTCGGGACGCGGACAATTGTGTGGCCAGGCCGCTTTCGGGTGTTTACGAGAAGGGCTCGATTGCATACGAGTGGAGCACGACGGTGCACTCGCAGTGGAAAAAAATCTTTGCTGTCGTTGGACCGATGCGCCAAATCATCTCGTGACTGAGGCCAAAGAGTGTGCCGCGACACCCACGGAACGGAATTGACGCTCGGACGGCGACGGAAAGGCCATTTTCTCAGCTTCTCCTGCGTGTTTCGTCGACAGGTGCAGACCGGCCAGCAAGTGCAAACGGTCGTCACGGAGGCGGCGGGTGCGGCCGAGACGCTCGTGCGGGACGCCGCCGCGGCGGTGGAGGTGAAGAAGCGGCTCACCGTAGAGAAGCATTTCAAAACTGCGCCACCCGAACCCGTCGCCGCCGCCGCCGTTGCCGTCACCACGCACGTTGTCAGCACCCAAGTGGCCGTCGCGGCCGCCGAGACCACCGAGACCACCGAGACCACGCAGGTCGGGACGCTCGAGCGGCGCGGCGTCGGCACGTTGCGCGTTTGCCACGTCAACTCACTGTGCGACTCGCCCCAGATCGCCTTGACGGCCGCCTCCTCCCGCCGGGACGCCGGCGCGCCCTCGGCCCCGCTTCCGCATTTCACCGTGGCCAAAGTCGCCGTCCCCAAAGCTGAGGTCACCCGCGAGGTAAGGAGGCCCTCTCGCGTGCCGACGGAGACGACGCGGACGAAATGAGCGCCGGGCTCCGAACTCCGCCCTCGGCCGCTTTCTCACCCGGCGGCGAATGCTCGCGAGTGCGTCAGCCAAAGGGCTTTTTTTTGCAAAAGCCCCCCAAAAGCACCCGGGACCGTTTTGAACAGTACGACCCCAAATCTCCCGCCCGCAACGTCTCGGCCCGCTTTGACGGACCGGGATCGGGCAAACCCCAAGTCGGCGACGTCAGCAAGCATTCGCCGGTCGACGAGCTCGCGGCCTTGGGCATCGTGATGTCATCTCCGGGCGAAAGCGAGCGGCAAAACAACCGCTTTTTGCCGCCTGCTATTTGGTAGAGGCGACCGTCTTCGGAATGCACGCTTTTGAGCCGACTTATGGCCCAGACTCGTTGAGTCAACGAGCGGCAGCCTTTGAGGGGCTTTGCGTTGTTCCCGAGCGGCAGCCTTGAAAGGCCCCCCCCCCCACAAAGGTCTTGGCTGCCGC